ACTTGGTACTTTGTAGACCGGAAGTAGCGGTTAATTAGTAGAATGCCTGCTAATGGGTACTAAATGTCCAAAATAAGCATTTTTAGAGTAAGGGGCCAGGGAGATGGCTCAGTGTTTCCTTTACTTCCCTGGCAAGGCTAAGAGTAAGTGAAAAAAAAAAAAAAAAAAAAAAAAAAAAAAGTACTTGGGAAACATAAATTCAAACAAAACCAATAAAGTCATGATTGAAGCATGACTTTATTGAAGTCATAGTTTGAAGCATAATTTTTGGATGCAGGCTATGGGGGCTGGAATTTAGGGTCAGCATTGATTTGTTAAATCATCTTGAATAATTCGCATTTCTCTCATGCTTTTTGTTCTAAGAATTGTTATGAGGGACAAACAAGGAAATATTTGAAGTCCTCAGTGCCTGGCAGGCATATGCTGATGATCTGGCATGTGCGTGGATTGGTATGTCAATATGACTAAGTGACAGTACCCAGCTCCTCAAGCATTAATCTGGGTGATGCTGTGCAAGTCCTTTGAAGATGTGATTAAAGTCAGTAATAGTTGATTTTAAATAAGAGAAACATTTCTAAATTTTTTAGTGGGCTTGATTTGATCCTCTAAAGTATTAAGAGGCATGATCAAAATATACAGTGAATATTTAAATTTTAAAAATTTATTGCAAGTCCACCCCTGGGATGTGCTGAGAGGTGCCTGAGACTGGGTGTGGTGCCACATACCTGTAATCCCAGCACTTGGGAGGCTGAAAACAGGAGAATAACAGTCCAATCTACATTTTGAGACCCTATCGGTATAGTACTAAATACATAAAAAAAGTATTGCAATAAAAGGCACAAAAGACACACTGCCATTAGTCACCTTGAAGACTCTAGCCCTCACTCTGAACACACTTATTTCGTCCTTCTTGCTAGTCTCTGAAGCAGATCTGGAGTCTTCTTGGGTGAGTGTCTTCACACGGTTTGATAAAAAATATCTAATTTTTGCAGTATGGCATCCAACATAAAGGCAGGTGAATAATAAAAGTATGTGGCACCCTCACCGACCACTGCCCGGATCTGGCACCATGATTCCTCCTCAGATTCAAAGTGACCACAGAAGGTAGGCATTTATGGTTGCTTCAGGACCTTAAGGCTGTCATGGCAGTGCAACCAAAGATAAGAAAAGAGGCTTCCGATGCTTCCTAATTTTTCTCCCCCCACAAGACCCAGGAAGGGGTATCTGTCGCCTGCCGTCTGTCACTCCTGGCCTTACCTGGACTCATCCTCTCTCAGCAGAAGGACCCTATGAGAAAAATGCTGCCTTCCTTAAGTCCCCCCTCAGGAATCTTCTGTGACTTTTTTTTTTTGTTTTAATCTCAGTTTTCAAACAGATTGTAAAAGGTCCAAATTTTTCTCTTTGATAGAATTGGTAATTTTATTTTTATTTTTATTTTAT